ATATAAAAATACGCCACAACAAAATTTTGCAAACCCTTTTTTGAAGGCACCATTCGCTCGATTTCAATGAAACATGGTGATGGAATTTTGTACACCTACATTTATACACATATAAATCGCGAGAATCATTCAATTGCGAACCATTTTCTCCCAGATTTTAAAATCACATTGAATGATGGTTGTTTTGTGCCAAAGTTTTTAAAAGGATCAGTGTGTTTGTCTTGCGATAGATGGCGCAGGGATTGAGAGCTGTCCTAAAAAATCATATTTATGATCAGATTTGTTTCAATTTTGGAACACATATTAGCAAACTGGTGAAACTTTTTAGCCCAGTCGCGTGATGAGAAAATATTGGGCTTTGGCCCAGTCTTGACGAAAACCCGTGTGAAACCCCCGTTAGAGCAGGAAATATTATCTTTTGTTGTATTCGATTCAGNGGGATTGAGAGCTGTCCTAAAAAATCATATTTATGATCAGATTTGTTTCACTTTTGGAACATATATTAGCAAACTGATGAGAAAATATTGGGCTTTGGCCCAGTCTTGACGAAAACCCGTGTGAAACCCCCGTTAGAGCAGGAAATATTATATTTTGTTGTAAACCTTCAAAATACTTTCTCAACCGTTAACGATTCAGATGAAAAAAAGAAAGAGTTTATGTAGATGTGGACAATTTAGTTTTCAACCTCCAAGAGACTCTCAGACAAATAAAATCGAAAAACTTATTTACAGTCTGAATTGGTATATGTTTGACATATTAGTCAGTGACGATCATCTCATCTATACATACAATTACATATGCATATTTTTTATAAATTAAAATTGAGGTACCTTTTTCGGTCTAATTCCAAAAGCTACTGAAGAAATTTGGAGGGAACTTGGTAGAATTAGCATTAATTAACGTTCATANAATCGAAAAACTTATTTACAGTCTGAATTGGTATATGTTTGACATATTAGTCAGTGATGATCATCTCATCTATACATACAATTACATATGCATATTTTTTATAAATTAAAATCGAGGTACCTTTTTCGGTCTAATTCCAAAAGCTACTGAAGACATTTGGAGGGAACTTGGTAGAATTAGCATTAATTAACGTTCATAATTCGATTTTCAGTTTTCCTGTAAATTCGCTATAAACTATGCTAGTGGACTTCAAAATAGTAATTCGCATAAAGGAGTTAGTATTGGTGACAGGTAAAATTCAAAAGTGTATGAAAAACGATGTCGAATTTCGACAACTGGACAACTGGGCGATACTAATTGATTTTTATTTTTTGAGCACATTGAACTTGGACTCGGGCGAGCCTAAGATATTGACCAATCATCTTTCACACAGATTGTTTTAAGAGCATAATTAACCATAGTTTTGCTATTACCAATCAAAATTCTAAAAAAAAAACAGATTTTCGGCACACACTAATGTTTATGTACTATGTACATAAGAATGTAGATGCCAAAGTTGTAAGAGAAAAGAATAAGCGTTGCTATTTTTTATATACATACGATTCAAGCAAAATGTATATTTATGGTGAAAACACAACTGCCGTTTATTTCTGCAGTAAAATTTGCTCAAAACGTTAATAATAATCTTATTTCTGCACATAATTTAATATGCTGAATGCACTTTATTTATAGTTTGTATATGCATGTGCGGACTTGTTGAAATTTTAGGCTGGTAACAAAAGTTTTGTAACCGGTAAAAAGTATCTGTACCCTTGTCGCATTCTGTGGATTCTTCTAACCGGTCAATCTTGTTGCTGTCTTATGGCAACAAAATAATGTCCCATGAAATATGCAATACCAGAAGTTCTACCAAACTTCAAAGCCAAATTACTGAATATATTGAAAGCATTACCAATTAACCTAGAATTGTCGCAACGAGAAGTAGTACAATTTTTTGGCAATAAAATTTTCCGGTTACAAAATCATCGGTAACGTCCATTGGAGACGTTTATAAATGCTTTAAGACAATGTGTTGTCCAGGAAATGTTAGTTATAGAATTTGAAATTGCTCTAAAAACGTACTAACTAAGTAGATGTAAATGTAGTCTGAGATGTTTTAGTCGATTGTCTCGATTGTTCAAATATCTCGACAGTTCTCGATGTCGCGAGTAGGCAGTCCGGGTTTCTGCGGACATAAAAAGACGTGTTCTAATGTAATAAATATTTAGTAATTAAGCACAAAAACAATATTTTAAGTAATTTTTCCTTGCATAAACATACCCAAAATTTATCTCAATTAGTGTAAATTTGATACTTAATATCAAAAATCAAAATAAAGTATTTAAGTTTGAATTCTCGCTTAAATCTCTTTCGCTTCAAATTGGTTATCATATTAGTTTTACTAAATATACGCTCCGAGGGCACAGAATATTCAGATATTTGGAAGCTAGTGAATATAGTTCTGGAAACTTAAAACGATGCATTTTCCAAAACTGTAATAGATCCTGCTCACGATCGAAAAATGGCATTTCAAGATACAGATAGATTAACAAAATTGCGCTAGCTGTTGATGTAGTAGATCGAAATGATCCTGGGGCATTGCCAGCTTTTGCTATGGCTTTTGTAGTTTCCAGAAAACCAAGTCGTCTAGAAATAATTTCCAAAAGAATTAGTTTTAACTGCTTCCCGATATCTGTTATAGGGTTTGTTTTTTATTTCGATTTGCAGTCCTCGGAAAAGTGGGGTGATACGCGACATCGTTGAATATGTTTGCCCTGGCAAATCTTCGGTTAAAATAGGGTCTGGTTTAAAAAATTGGATGCAGTCATTCATTGCCTCCCACTCTGATTGCTTGGTGCATTTTCTAAAGAAGAAATAGTTGCCGCCAGAGGGAGCTTCAATTTACATAGCCTTTCTAGCATAACGACTGCTGGACGAAGGTGTTCTAAAACAGATTTTTATATGTTTGCCGCATTGTCGGTTACAACTGTAACAATTTTGTTAGTAATTTACAAATTTGACAGAATATCTAAAATCGCTTGACCGATATTAAAGGCGAATGGTCAGTTTTGACTTCTCCGGTTCACAAAGCCAAAAGATCTGGAGTGTTAAATGAAATGTGCGGCGATGGTTATATAACATCGGCTGCTGTCAGAAGTCCACAATTCGCTTGTCAAAGATATACTAGTGAACCCACATAGCGTTAGAACGCCCAAAATTGAATTTCAAAAACTTAAAAAATATTCTAAATGCTAGCCAGAGTTAAAAGAGATCCGCGTGCCAGTGAAGAACAGTCTCGCACAGTGCATGTTTAGAACTTCATCAAATTTCAAATCACCCCATACCGATGAAAATAGTTCTTAATTAAAAAAAAAAAAAAATAAAACTTTATCACACATCCACACATCTTTAATTTGATCTCTCATTTTTGAAATTCCTTTTCAAAAGTATTCTCAAACTAAAATCTTCTTAAACCTCTTTCGTCTGACATTGCGATACGCATGTATTCCAATAAACCGATGAATCAATTTGAATTGTAGCCTCTTAAATTAAGGGTAGGTATACGCCATACATATAATTCTTTCTTAAATATTCATCTGAATATCTTCTCGGATAGCCAAGCGGTCATTTAGGTACTCTCTTCTAGCTCTGTTAAATCTCAACTAGAGCTGGCCTATATCTCTGATCAATACGAAATTACCCTCATATGGTTCCTGGCACATAGGGACATTTACGGAAACGTGGCAGCGGACGAGCTTGCAAGGTGCGGCTCAGCACTGAATGTGTCCCACGCGGTGGACATGGGTGCTTCGCTCAGGGAAATAAAAGCAGCAATTACCGAAATTTATCACTCGAAGACTAAGCAGGGGTGGAACCTTACCGGATCATACAGGATTACCCGGCAGTTCTAGGTGGCCTACAACTCACTTAGTCCAAAGCTCTCTTATGAATGAGCAAAGAAGTGCACTGCAGTGTGTACAGGACACTGGCCCGTTGGCGTAGTAGTTACGATGACTCTGGCTCAAAAGAGACAGTCGAACACTTCCTGTGCGAGTGTCCAGCCTTTGCAAGGATGAGGCTGAAGACACTCTACAAGCTATTCCTGCAGAATGTTTTAGAGTGAAGCTGACCCTCTCTGTATGACGTACTGAAATTCATTAAATATGTTTTGTATTTTGAAGTGAATTGTTTTCGTTATTTTCTTGTTAAGACACATGTGTTATTTATTTTTGTACCGGCAATAAAATATTGGGAAATATTTTTAATAGAATATTTTACTGGTTTCTAGCGCATATTTTTGAATTTTGCGCGCATATTATATGCGCATATTTTCGATTTTTTAGTGCATGAGATTCCGAGCCCTACTTATAAATATAAAAAGAATGAATATTGGATGATATTTTCCATAATATGTAACCCGGCTTTAAAAACGATGATTATTTTTTTTTTGTGTGCAAAATGTTTATCAAACGGCAAGTGTAAACTGATTCTTCGGAGCTTGCCCATTCCTGTGTCCCTTGAAAAATTCAAAAAAGTGCTGACGAAGCTGACCAGTTCTTAATCATTAGCAAAATATTTAGAAGATATGATTGCATTTACCTGTAAAACCTGTTTTGGCACATCTACGCCAATACTTTGCAATGGTCCTTTTAACATAACTGGACTAGAACTAGTACCGGATGATGTAACTGATGGTGGGTGGGTTATATAGTTTTGTTGATTCATTTGCACATCGTTGAAATTCGTTCCGAAACTGTTGGATGCTGGCCTATAACCAATGCCCGTATTATTACTATGACCCATCATATGTTGGGTGTTTGATGTTGTTGAATGTAACGGCTGGCTTTGGTGTGGGCTAGGAATCTGTTGTGTTATATAAGACTCAACTTGCTGTTGTAGAGCAGCAGCCTCAGCTGCTGCAGCGGCTCTTTTCTCTGCTTCGCGTCGCTCCAACTCTTGCTGTTGCTGTTCACGTTGCAACTGCTGCTTGAGTTGTGTCCGAGATTTTGGAACAGTTGTCTTGAATGTAGGACTGAAAAATCAAACAAAATTTTATAAAGTTTATAAAGACTTTGATGAGTCTGTCAGGCTTGCCGACAGGTATGTGCATATGTAAATGTTACGAGTTTAGTATGAAATAGCACAACGTAAATATTAAATGCAAGTGTAAGTAATAGCATGTGTACATTAGGGTGTCCCGTCAAAAATTTTTTTTGATCTACATTATCGCAAGAGGTATCGAAATTTGCGTAATTTTACACATGTTAAGAAAAAGGTAAAAAAAGTCAGAAATGTGTGTCATTTTGAGGGCTCTACCACACCATGAAGTTTTCCACGTATTTTATATGAGAAAAAACACTTCTTCGTAGAAATAGAGATAAAATCCTTAAAAGTCAATATTTTTAAATTTGCAAACTCTTTTTCTCTTTAGGAGACTTCAAAGAATAATATCCAGTTATTTATTTAACCTTTTTTTAATATTAATGCTTGTTTTATGGTTCCCCCATTTAATTATTTTGGGGATTTCGGGGACCTATAAAAAATAGTTAGTGTTAAAAAATCCTTAAGTAAACAATTAGGTATTATACTTTGTAGTCTGCAAATTGAAAAATATTGACTTTTAAGGATTTTATCTCTTTTACGGATTTACGAAGAAGTGTTTTTTCTCATATTAAATACGTGGAAAACTTCATGGTGTGCTAGAGCCCTCAAAATGACACACATTTCTGACTTTTTTTTACCTTTTTCTTAACATGTGTAAAATTACGCAAATTTCGATACCTCTTGCGATAGTGTAGCTCAAAAAAATTTTTGACGGGACACCCTAGTGTACATATATGTATGTATGTATCTATTAAGCTTCTCCTTTTCTTACTACGTACAATCATAGGAGCATAAAAAGTTTGAATTATCTATATAAAAAGTAAATATTTATTAATACAAATGCGTATGCAATTCTAGTAAATTTTTATCAGTAAGATTCTGAGTATTCTTTTTACGCACCCGCCTGTTGACGGCGGTAAGCCAACAACCCTTGGCTCAACCGGCTCCGTGACTGCAATATCACCCAAGTCTACTATGCTCGGATCCATTTCCAATATCATTTCTAAGTCTTTGTCGATGCCTACAGTTACTCTAATGTTACAATCAGATTCAGCTGTGTTGTTATTAGAACTAACATTCTGTGATGAGTAAGAGTTTGGAGAAAAAGATTGTTGCCCTTGCTGCAAGGATTGTTCTATTCGCGAACCAATTTGTGCTATTTCATTGCTGCCTTCATCGCAATCCATTAAGGCGGCAGGTTCAATACCAACTTCGATTTCCAGCAAGGGATCAACTTTGCTTATATACTCTCTTTGTTGTATTTGTTCAGTTGCTTTTGAACCAAGGGCATGCTTAGGTTGTAACTGATCTCCTATTTTCAAATCAGTAGTAACATTTGTGGTAGACATTTTCAGAGTTTGTATCCGCTGTAAAAAGTCCTGAAACTCTGTCGAATTATTTCGGGATGACTCATATAAAGTTTTAGGTGACATAGTGTTGCCACAAGAAGAACTATTTTGGCTATTGTTGCTGTCGCCGTGAACTATCTGTGAGTGGGGTTGAACATTGTCAATTAAAGTTGTGAGCCATGCTGACTTTTCCGTTTCGTCGAATTGCACTGCTGCCTGTGGGGCAGAAGTTGACTGTGGTTCACAATTTGCTTCCTTAATAAGGGATTTCGTAGTAATATAATTATTATTTTTACCTAAATTATGTTTGTAGCTTTGGCTATGATTCATATTGGCGTCTTCATTTTCTTGGGTTTTGGTTCTATTTCCCCAATATGAGAACATTTTAGTCAAATTTTGTTTTCTTTAACAAAAATTTCTTTAGACACGTGCGTAGAATGATCGTGATTGTACACGCTTAGTAATATTCAGAAGCAAATTTATTACTTACAACATTAATTGAGAATATAGTTCGTAAGAGAAACAAATATTTGCTTGAGTGCATGAAAATATATACATAGCTATGTTTGTATATCTCAGGAAAGTTTCAAATACATATAAACATATGTATGTATGTGCATGTAATTTTTTACAAAGCAGCAGCACACTAATTTTGTTTCGATGCCGTGTTTATACACAACGTTCGCGTAATTTACTCCTGTCTCATTTGCACTAATATTTTTATAGAAAATATACTTAATGCACTTTCACCTCATTCTCAAATTTTTTATTATACATATGCCTTTCATTGGTTTCATATTAACCATTTAATTTTTATGGATGTACATTTTCACATTCGCATACGCAATTTTATTACTTGAATAGTATTTTTAAATTCTTAGAGGTAAAATTTTCTTTCGGCTGAATAATACAAAAGATAGCCCAGAAAAAACAAACAGACCTTGATCTTGTATTGTGAAGAATTGCCAGTATGTTTTCGATGCGGCAACTTTCGAAGAGAACACTTTGAATACTTTCGAACAGATATTCTATTTAAAAAGAGCTTTGCGGACCGTAAAACAGGGTGATTAAAAATAAATATATTCTTGTTTCTCAGTGGCCTGGATACAAATATGTGCACTCTTTTAATTTAAAATTTCTTAAATAACTATAATTTCAATTTCATCCTTTTTCTCGGGTTCAAGCATAAATTGCTTACCCCTTTTGTAATATGTACATATATATGTATACAAAAGTTAATCGAATATGAATTGGTATTGGGTAGCATTGTATTTATCCTTAAAAATAATTTAAAAAATTTTTGAAAACCCTATATCCGCAGAGGAAAATACAACACAGATGTAGTAATATATGCGCATGATTGGAAAAAATTTAAAAGCTTTTCTACAGTGATATTTCTATCTGTTCAGGTGAAATTCAGCATGCAGTATAAAAATTTGAAATTTTTGGTTTAACAAATTTTGGAACACGTATATATACTCAGACCAGATTTTTTTGGCAAAATATCGGGACATTTCTAAAACATCGAATCCGAACTTACAATTTATTTTTAGAATCAAAAAAAGTTTGAAAATGATCGCAAAAATGTATATATATGTAAGTACACACAATATACATGGTAGCAAGAATGGAAATAGAGTAAATAAGGTTTTGGCTACTTTTCTTTGATTAAAAATTTTTTTTATATTTTTTTATGAAATATAGCTTACTATACAAAACACGATGTAAATCAAAATTTCTAACTTTGTAGAATATTTACAATACGAATTTTACGAATTTTAACAAATGTTGATCAAACTTTTAAAATTTTCAATCAGATTTTCAGAATTTTTTAGCATGCAGTTTTGTTGCCCATTAAATTTTAGGATGACAAACTGCAAGTTCGAAGTAGCTTGGACTTGCCGTTGATTTTCGGTAATTTTTTGTTCGCGCATTTTCTTCCATACAAAGTCTGCTTACCAAAAATCAACGGAAGGTCCAAGCTACATAAAATTTACACTTTGAATTGAATGCGATACAAAACTGCACACTTAGAATTATGCTAAAAAATCGAATTAAAAACTCAACATTTTGATGAAACTTTGTCAAATTTTGTGAATTTTTGTACAAAGTTTAATTTACATGGTTTTTGTTATATAACGAACTATACTTGCATAAAAAGAATAATACACATTAAATATTTAATCGGAAGGGGAATAGCCAAAGAATACTGAAAGGCCTCTTCCCTATTTAGCTTTATTTTCGCCACTGTATTCAAGTTAGAATCGTTTCATTAAAAACAGACAAAAAACTAATAATTACAAAAACCTTAATAACAAATAAAAAAATAATAATAATGACTGAAGTGCATATAGCGAGAATACCAGTTTAACAGAATAAAACATAACCAAAGANAACGAACTATACTTGCATAAAAAGAATAATACACATTAAATATTTAATCGAAAGGGGAATAGCCAAAGAATACTGAAAGGCCTCTTCCCTATTTAGCTATATTTTCACCACTGTATTCAAGTTAGAATCGTTTCATTAAAAAAAAAACTTAAAAAGTAATAACAAAAACCTTAATAACAAATAAAAAATAATAATAATGACTGGAGTGCATACAGCGAGAATACCAGTTTAACAGAATAAAACATAACCAAAGGTCATAGAAAATAGGATGTTCTTTGTGATAACGTTTGTACGAAAAAATACATATACGTCCCGACTTTTAAAAAATATTCAGCGGGAAAATTTTCTCAAAATCGGTACTGTCCCGTCAAAATCGGTATGAATGGTCACCATACGTATATAAGTATGTTAAATTAGTATGTTAACGCTATTAATACGCGATAACACTAAGAAATATTAAAAATTTAATTTTTATGTAAAAATGAAAATTTTTACAATTATTATTTTTTTGCATCTTCAACCTTTACAAATTGGTAGCTAGTTTTTAAGGCGGAAACCATTGCAGGCCTATGTAATCGTTTGATAAAGACAAAAGTCCCATTTCAAACGGTTTTACAGAATNATACGCGATAACACTAAGAAATATTAAAAATTTAATTTTTATGTAAAAATTAAAATTTTTACAATTATTATTTCTTTGCATCTTAAACCTTTACAAATTGGTAGCTAGTTTTTAAGGCGGAAACCATTGCAGGCCTGTGTAATCGTTTGATAAAGACAAAAGTCCCATTTCAAACGGTTTTACAGAACTCTCGATCTAAGCAACTAAACACATCCCTTCCCGGAAGAACGTCTTCATCCAAGAAACTATTTTTAGGTTGTTATCAGGGAAGGGATTTTATGGAAATTGCCTTTTTTCCTGCTAAAGAGATAGAGTATATTCGATTAAGAATGGCCACGATTTAGCTTTCCCTGATTCCATATATACACATTTGATGTTGCCTTTTTTAAGATATTTGCCTTTTTTTGCCTATTGTACCTTTAATAAAGTGATTATAGCGAGGAAAACGCCCTTATTCCACTTGTATCAACTCACGTCGAGCACACGTTTAGTAGTACATTCAAGGCTATGTTAAAGCCTGTCTGTTGTTACAAAAAAATCAAGTTGACAATGAAGAAAATCGATGGATAAATAAAAAAGTACTAAGTGGTCATATGAAAATGCGCAAAGATTGTTTGTACGAAAAATTAGAAGGAAAGAATGTTACTCATACGTCATGTACACCTGAAAATATCTCGAAAACATATCCATAGAATAAAATATTAACTTGATTTTCGGAATCAGCGAGCAATTCTATATAGGAATTGGATATGTGGTGGCGTTCTTTGAACATTTTTCCTATAAACCAGTGCTATTTTCAAGCTTTTGTATTTTTTTAGTGCCTTCTTTTGCCTTGTTTTGCTATTTCTAGTGCCTTTTCCTGCCTATTTCGTTAATTTATTTTGCCTTTTTTTATAGGTTTTTAGGCCCTAAAAATCCGTTCCCTGGTTATTATGCATAAATATCAGTCAGTCCTTCTTTTATGATGCGTACAAAACTCGTAGTGATATCTGTCAATTAATTAAGGAGTAGCACGTCCAAAATGATAAAACCTTATAATCAAATAAATGATTGCCCGTTAATGAAAACGTATCGGCCGAGAACATCGTCGCTGTTCGTGAAAATGGACTACCGAGCCTGAGGCAGCCAAAGGCTTTTTGTGGTTATAGCAGAACTATGCAACGCGCCACGAGGCGGATGCAATGATAGGCATTCTGCGTGTACGATTTCAGCACTTGAGCTCCTTAACATAAAAAAATGGTTTTTGCTAATACCTCTCACGCGGCTTTTTTATTTCATTTTAACAAAAAACTATTATAAATTAAAAAAAACTTACATATGTAGATATGTATATTCGTGTACGTACATATGTATGAAAGTGCGTACACAAGTATGTGCATGTGTACAATAAAATACATTTCTTAAAAAAATACCAACACTCATGGAATAGATAAAGTTTACTTTTGTTGGTTTTTGATGAATGAGGGAATTAGAAATGACCGTTGTTTACTGTATAATGTGGATCTCCGTAAAAAAATGTGTATAATTATCTAAGTCTTACCATTCAGTCAGTTTTGAGCAACGATTACCTACACTTGCATATATTTCTAGGGTTGCCAGACGTTAAACACTTTCGGGAGAAAAGCGCAAGCGGCACGCAAATCTTCGTCGGTTACTTTATTACATATCTTCTGTAGCCATAGGCTAATTTCTCCCATTTGAGTCCTTTATACTCGCTTTTTTGTCCAGCATAAGGCTTCATACTCAGCAATCGAATAGGCTTGGAACTGGTGACTAGGAGGCCATTCATTTGACCAACTCTATACAGTTTTTTTTCTTGTTTTTTTTTTTTACACAAAGTCTACGAAGAAATTCACCTGAAAAAGAGATGTACTTATCTACCAAAGCTGGCAAATGCAAATAAGGATTCAATTTTAAAACATAAAATTAAAGTTAACAATAAAACACTTTTCTCGCAAAATCCATAAAAAAATTTTACTACTTCTCTTATGTTTTACTGCTTTTTTTTAATCGAAAATAGAAATGTACTCCTTTCTCCGTTTCAGAATCTGGCAACCCTATATATTTTGGATGTCTTTTAAAATCCCTTCATTTCGAGTGTATGTAAATGAATTATATTTATAAATATAGCTACATACGTAAACCCTGTTAGTACTCTCTTTTAAATAATGTGCATTTATATATACATAGCACGTATTTATGTGTTACAGCAAACGAGTATCAAAAGAACACTACGTAAGATAACGAAATACGCACAAAACAGCGACACAAAGTCGACGAGTTGAGCCAGGTCGGTTAAATAAATAAGCAACCGGAGGCGAAGTGTAGCAATGGGAAATGATTACACTATTGTTAGTGAGCTCTGGGGTAAATACTTTAGGGAATTTTTAATTAGGGACAAACCCTTAAAAGTATGTGATTTATGTATGTATATGTATATTAAATAAATTGTTGTATTACTCACATTGATTGTAAAACTATTTATGTCAATTGTTTTTAACTTATTAATCACATAAGCTAATCGCATGCTTAGTAATACCAACAGGGTTGTTTATGTGGCTAAAAGGAAAATTTAACGGAGTTAAGTGTTCTTTAGTTACTCGATTGCACCAGAATGAGGTTATACTTATTGTTAAACATTTACTTTGTTTATACGATGCATTAATTTGCGTTAGCTTAAATCGTTTAATTTTGATACAGACGTACATAGTTATATGCTGCTTTTTCTTTTTTTTCGATCCGATTTTTTCTAATAAATGCAGCGGAGCCGAACATTAAATACCCGGTGCAAGTATCAAATATAGTTTTTTTTTTTACCTGTCCGAAAACCAACGCTACATGGTAAGCAGGGGTGGATTTACCCTATTTCAAACATCTTCGATAGAACGTTCAGTTAGACATAATGAGATAAACTTATGCAGTCATATGGGGGCGGTATCACGCCCATTTTCCGAAATTCCAAATAATTTACTTCTTTTCAAGGTATTGTGGTTAGTATCAATTTTGAGTAAATTAGCGTCCTTAAATTTCGAATTGTCGAAGTTTCAAGCATATCTGAAATTTGCTGTTAAAGGAAAAGTGGTCGTAATTTTGGTTTCAAAGGATTTGCTCTAAGGTGGCAAGCACAATAATCATACCGAGTTTGTTGCATATTGGTCGAACGGTTACCGAGATACATATATGAGATCATATTGATCACATTGTTTTTGAATAAATTAGCTTCAGTATTTACGGATTTATCGAAGATTTCGCATTTCTCTGAATTACCGCTGCATGGGATGTGGGCGTGGTTATTACCCGATTTTTTTTTTTAATTTTCAGCCATTTGCTATGTTGTACCAAGGCCAACAACTGTGCCAAGTTTGGGAGAAATTGGTGAAGCGGTTACCAAGATATACACATGTAATCATAAGTGGGCGTGGCTAAGTCCATTTTCCAAAAATTTATAATACTACTATTTTTCTCGCCTAAAAATCATTGTAAATATCAATTTTGAGTGAATAAGCTTCATTTGTTACTAAAATATCGCAGTTTTCGTATTTCTAAAAACTACCGTTATATGGGAGGTAGGCGTGGTTAATGTTCGATTTCACCCATTTTCAATACCATCCATCCTACGCTCGAAAGAAGTACAAGTACAAAGTTTCGTAAATACATATATCTCAATTTTTACTCCACTTATGGTGTACACAGACGGACGGACGGACAGACAGTTACCGCTTAATCGATTTCTCTTTTCATTCTGATCATTTATGTATACATTTGTCTATATCTAACTCGATTCGTTTTGCCTATTACAAATAACCGTTATGTGCACTAAGTTATAATACCCTTGTGCACAAGTGCGCTCGGGTATAAAAAAGCAGCTGATTGTGTTCATTGGGCACACTTCTTTCGGTATTTATAAACTATAGCATTTTACGTCCTCTATGCTGACACGAGTTTAAAGGAACCGTATTAAGCATCGTATAAACAAGGTAGTTGTTATTCTGAAAATTGAGAATAACAAAAAATTAACAAACTTTTCTTACATGTCATCGAATCTCACTGAACGGGTCGCGGACTTCAGCTCATAGAATTCTACATTATCCGTCCTCCCAGCAACTTGAACTTCAGTTGATAGTAAATCTAAGTCTTCGATGGGAAAATATTCAAGATCGAAATCCATATTTATGCCGGATTCTGCCATCGTCGAGCTAAATGCTTCTTACGCCGGTTTTACTTGTGGTGAGTGGAAAATTTCAAGTTTTATTTTACTCTAAGTTGACTAAAGCACAAAAGTAATTTGATTGCTGACAACTTGTGGTGAGTTGGTGAGCATTGATCAAAACACATTGGTGTGCGATATCTTTTTTCATTTTATTCTTTGTTCAGTGATTCGTTATTTGTTTGGCGGCTTAATTAAGAAGAGTTTCAAACTCTGCCTTTGGAAATCGACAATTAGTGCCAATAAAATCGATTTGAATGTCTTGCTCAACACTTGTTTATCAGAATGGTCTACAATGCATAATACATACATATGTACTTGTATTAGTATATGTATGTATGTATGTATGCTCCACTAACACACATAAAACCACGTGTGATTAAGCTGCTGAGTACTTGCTAGTTACTGTGGCTGATTGCTTGTCTCAGAGAAAANCCACGTGTGATTAAGCTGCTGAGTACTTGCTAGTTACTGTGGCTGATTGCTTGTCTCAGAGTAAATGCTTGNAATAAAATCGATTTGAATGTCTTGCTCAACACTTGTTTGGGTCTACAATGCATAATACATACATATGTACTTGTATTAGTATATGTATGTATGTATGTATGTATGCTCCACTAACACACATAAAACCACGTGTGATTAAGCTGCTGAGTACTTGCTAGTTACTGTGGCTGATTGCTTGTCTCAGAGAAAATCGCCTTTATCATGTTTGTCGAAGAGCGAGTTTTCTTTTTCTTTGCTAACATCACATTATATGAATTTGTTTTGTTTGCTTGTTCACAGGTATGGATGAATGTATGAAAATATGTAGTAGCAGTTACTTAGCTCTCTTTACACATTTTCACAACTTCACTGAAATTTCGGCGGCCATCTTTAATTCTATTTTAATTTTTATTATACTGTAAGTTTGCATGATCACTTGTAGCTGCGCCTAGCACGAACACAACTGCGATATTCACACCAATAGCCTATCAATGTTATTTCGAACTCGTAACTTATTTGGCAAGTTGAGAGTGCGAGCGTAATAGCTGTCGCAACCACTTCAGGCTTCAAAGCTGATATCGCCAATAAACTGTCTAAACATACAACTATGACCATTTATGACCAACTTTTATACATACATACATATACACATACATACATATATACATATGTACATCTACATTTTTAACATGATTTATCAGTGCCCTAAGGGGCGATCTTTCTTCCATTGATTTAATAATTTCATTGTTGCACAGCTTTTAGTTCACGATCACTTTTGTTAATTTCCATCTACTCCGCACTAGCTTTCTGTTATTTTCATTTTGATTGCCGTCTACTGAATTTATAAAACCGATTTTTACATATCCGACACCTAGTGACAATCGTCCGTCTGTCTACTAGCGAAACCGGGCAAAGATAAAGCATTGAGAGAATATTTACTCGTAGCACCCGTAAAATAAAAGCAACGGCTTTGGAGTGAGCTTTGATTGTTTTAACTCACCTCAGTTAGTGGTGGGTACGAAAATGATGATAACTAAACGAGTACGAGTACAGAGGAAATTAGACAAATAGGTATTATCAATTAATTGATAGCAAGAATTTTTCAATGCTCATAAATACTTATAAGTACCAAAAGCGTCACGTGTTGTTCAATAACCGGTATATTGTGCTTAAGTGCTTACAGATGGGAGTTTTCAGCTTCTCATTTAGTCTAAAGCTTACTTACTCAATGTAAGTAAGTAAGAAAGTTTTAAAAGTAACGTACTTATATGTATATGCTCCAGGTTGTTGGCGTTTTTGATGCATTGGAGATATTAGTTTAAAGTATTTTCAACATTAAATAGGTTACTCTTGTTGACATTCATTCTCTGTAGAACAAAATTAAATATATTTACTCATATACATACGTGTATGCAAATATCCGAAATAAGCTTAGTTATGAAATTAGAGCTTACTAATGTAATGCTAACATAGCGAAAATGCTTATAAAAGTGCTTTCGATGTGAACCCATAAACAGAAAGTGTGTAAAAGCTTTAAGCTCAAATTGGCAAATAGATGTCCTATAAATCGAATGCTTTATTTCTTGGGCTTAATGCTTTCGATGTTATTATACAAAAATTAAATCATGAAAACAAAACACCGGCCTATGACCGATATTCTAAACCTCGTGGCGTATCGTCTTATAGAAGCTGTTGAAAAGGAAGGAAAGGCTTTGCTTTGTGTTTTGAAGTGAGCTCCCTTATAAATTCGGAATGATTTCGATTTAATGCTGGTGTGAGGATTCTTTTATAATAATAATAATAATAATAATAATAATAATAATAATAATAATA